TAAATCTTCTTAAGATCAGTTAATCTGGACAAGCCCTACAGAAGAAAATCTTTCTCAAAAAGCTTCCCAGTGGTTTTGTTAATGTATTTTTGTTAATTAATTCTTATATTTCTGCTTTATAAATATAATTCTCTTTGGAAAATGTTATTTTTGTGTCATAGCATACTTAGTTTGTGAAATGTGAAGTTTGGGTGCATTTAACATGTTTGTTGTTCTCACTATGACAGTGTTTTGTGTTCAGGTTTACCAGTTTCGCCTGGAGCCATGAATGCAAAGAGAACAGCAAGTATGCATTTAACAATTCCTCAGAAATGGGTGATTCCAGTCTTATCTAAGCCATCTACCTGTCACTGTATGAAGCAGTCCATTTACACAAGAAAAAAAAAAATATTCAAGTTAACCTAACTAACTCAAGAGTAACCAGGACAGTAACCAGGAAAAAGTACTGTTACTCTTACTCTGTTGCAGAAGTGTGGATCACTGAAAATTATAAAGTAACTATAAGTGACAAAAGTATTTGATCCCTTAACATTCCAAGCTTATTACCTAAGGCTTAATGTTAATTGACTACATGGACTTCAATGCAAACAAATGGAGCTTTTCTTAGGTTACAGAAGAGTCTAATAAAACTTGGCTTGGTAAGGGGTTAAGCTTGAACCTAAAGTGAGTAACTTGAATAACTTCACTTAATTTTTTTGACTCAATAAGTTTGCATGATTTTTTTTTAAAGTCAACTAATTAACATTTACAGTGTAGCTGTGTGAAACTTTTGCCATGTAAAGCCAGCCTTATAAACAGTTATTAGAAAGGCTGAGATTTCATTGATCAAATGCAATGGGTCACTATGCATGTTCCAGCCTTCTGGACCTGGATCAAAATTCAACTTGCATTATGAGCAATCCAACAATTCAAGTGTTCACTTAGCATAGGCATTTAGCATAGGTTTGTTTATCATGTTCTCTGTTAGCAAACTCAGGGCCAACCATACCACTGTTTCAGCTGTATTTGTTTTGCCACCACACCACAGGATTAGGCCTGAGTTCATAAACAAAGCACACAACTTCATACTGCGTGTCTTAATACATTCTGTTTTTATGCTGTTGTAGGCATTCTGCAGAATCTATTGACCTTACATGAAGCCTTAACAATTCTTTAGATTTGTTATATTTTGATTGGATGTTTATGTCATCCAGTGAAAAGCATAACCCATTTTGTTAAAAAATAGATTTTTGCTGAATGCCATATGTAGTGCGACAACAGAAAAATAAAAGACACAGAGACAAAACATGTATTCCAGTTGCTCATAACATCTTGCTTCTTAGAATTTGCCTACTTTGTATCAACCATCAAAGAGTTTTATTTAGCAGTATGACAGAAGCCAATGGCTGCTATGACATTTTATAAGCAGAACCCATCAAGTGATTATTGAACGTTTTTTTCCTCTGCATTCACAACATGATGAAGGAAAGTGATATTTAAAATTTGTCTGATAAAAGGCTACACACCAGAGTTAAAACACAAATATTTGTTTTGGCATGTTTAAAATGCATTGCAAACGCAGAGACAAAACCTTATAGGCCTATTGCAAAACAAGACAGAAGCACAGAACCCTGCAGAGGCATTTTAAGTTTGGGGTTATAAAAAGCCAAAGCAGCCTACACCACTGTGCCTGTGTTGGCTTGTGAGAGCCTCTGCTGTAAGGATGACTGACAAGACAAAATTTGTCCTGGAATTTCGAGACCATTATTTAGTCCTATTTATTTCAGACAGAAAGTGCTACTATATATGTTCTCTGAGCTTGCCTGAGTACAAACTGTATATATATATATAATATCTATACATATATATATATATATATATATATATATATATATATATATATATATATGTGGACGAAATAAAGAGAAACAGTTAGACTTCTAATGATTATCCATTTGTTTTTTTTCGTATTTGTTTAATATTCAACTAGGTTACCATGGCCAGTAACATGGCTAACTCACATCAAAACTTATCAACATCTGATAAGTTACCACTTGTCACATCCCAGTAAACTTTCGATAATATCTGAATAATGAAATCCCAGAGTTCTCCAGTCTGCTACTGGCTACAATAAATAGACTGGCCTGCCATTTGTTATGGAAGCCTATTGCAGACTAACAATGTCCCATGGTGCTTCATAATCTAAACAGTGGTGAGAGATGGTGGTTATATTTTATATTTACATTATTAAACATTATTTATAGATGTCCTAGACACCTATCAAATGTGTGGGGTGTAGATTCAATAAGCAGGTTATTTGGTAGACTGTGAGTGGACTAGTTATATACCCATGCACAAACATGATATAGCTAAAAAGTGAGTTTTTATCACTTAACATTTTATATTAAATCTAAACTTTGTCATGTGTTTTTTAACAAAGCAATGTAAACTCCAATTTCAGTTTTGAATAAAAGTATAAAAATTACATGTAATCAAAATGTTTAAACCATGTATTGTCTGAGGATCATCCAGTGTATAACAATATACATTTCCTTGTAGAAATTTAGCTGTTGAACACTGGATGGGTTAATAGGTGTCATGCGAGAATGCGTTGAACTGGTATGCCTTCTTACGCTTTATGCCGCAAAACTAGGCTAGCTAATTCTAGCAAGCAACTCGCCATGGTACCGCAAGAGTGCGCATTAAGAAGAGACGGCACGCCTCGCTGTGAAGCGCCTGCTGCTCTTGTTCCCGCACATTCACACCGCCAGGCGGACAAAATACGTAGCCAACAGGTCGAAGCCTAGCTACTGCTGACGGAATTAGCCGTGTCGTTAGGTTCGTTTCGTCTCGTCATTGTCTAGCAAACGATCTATTTGAAACTATTTAAAAGGCTTTAAACCAACGATTTAAACCTAATTCACCGTGGCCTTTTTATCCAACAATGAAAGGAAGGCTATATATTCATAGTTATGTATTAATGCAAAATGTATGTATGTATGTATGTATGTATGTATGTATGTATGTATGTAAGTAATTAGAAAGTTTAGTCTTTTTTTGCCATTCATAGAACTACACATGATACGTATCATATTATTGGACCATTAACGATCAGTATACTAGTATTTTGAAAATGTATTAAATAAATTATAACGCAAATTTTAATAATACTTCCAGGACTAAATCATTAGTGTAACTGAGACATAAGAACCCTGGGTATTTGACGAACTTAAGTCTTAGGCTTATTATTGATTTGTTAATCATTATATTTACTACTACTACTACTACTAATAATAATAATAATAATGATAATAACAAAACAACAATAATAATAATAATAATAATAATAATAATAATGTACAAATGTATATTTTTTGGGGGGGGGGGTTGTTTTTGTTGTTTTTTTTCAGTAGGGTTGGGGCTTATGTTGATATGCTTGCTAATGGTCACGAACTTGCATGTGTGGTATTTTCGTCGTGTCCTGTTGGTGTACCTAATACATTTGTACATTATTATTATTATTATTATTATTATTATTATTATTATTATTATTATATATTTGGACGAAATAAAGACAAACAGTTAGACTTTTAACGATTATCCATTTTTTTATTCGTATTTGTTTAATATTCAACTAGGTTACTATGGCCAGTAACATGGCTAACTCACATCAAAACTTATCAACATCTGATAAGTTACCACTTGTCACATCCCAGTAAACTTTCGATAATATCTGAATAATGAAATCCCAGAGTTCTCCAGTCTGCTACTGGCTACAATAAATAGACTGGCCTGCCATTTGTTATGGAAGCCTATTGTAGACTAACAATGTCCCATGGTGCTTCATAATCTAAACAGTGGTGAGAGATGGTGGTTATATTTTATATTTACATTTATGCAATTACACATTATTTACAGACCTAGACACCTATCAAACGTGTGGGGGGTGGACTCAATAAGCAGGTTATTATGTAGAATGTGAGTGGACTAGTTATGTAACCATGCACAAACAGACTGTGTTACAGTGATGTACAGAGCTGCTGGGCAAATTTGAGGGGGGGTGACTAAAACCTTTCAGCACACTTAAGAAAGAAGATAGCACCAGTTGAAAAAGGCTGGCTAACAAGCTCTGAACCTTTGCCCGCATGACCATCCCTTCTCCAGAGACGGCAGTAAACATCCTGACAAGTAACAAATTGCTGTGGGCGTCATATTGTTAGTTGCTCTTGTCTTTCCGTGTAGCAACGAGCAAATATATTCGAGATCCTTCAGCCCCCTCCTTTGAGCGTGGGCCTTTTTAATGAAGAGGAAGATTTGCTAGACTATTGTCATCCCCATTAATAATTAGCTGTAGCCCTTTGCTTCTTTCCATGTCCTCCGCCAACGCCTGTCAGGTAACCCAAAGTGTGAACGCGCTCAGATGCCTGGGTTTGACGTATTTGGTGAAGATGCGCGATAGATCAGTCAGTGGTTCGAGTGTACATCAACTAAAATAAATGTCTTTGAGCCAATTCACCAGACATCATACTCCATATAGACGCAAAAATGAAGGCTCCACATAGTTATGTGCTGAGGCTACGTGGGAGAAACTCGTTCCACGCTCTTTTCCTGTTGGTCCGGACTCAACAGAAGGCTTGCTGTCTGCCTAACCTCGTTTTGGTAACAGATCAGTCCACTGATTCAATTAGATAGGCCCAAAGCCTACCCGGACCGATCTGAAAACGATGGCGTCACTTCCAATTCGAGTGTTAAATGGATTTCAAACCTGAATGCAGATACTGAACTCTGTATAAACCTTATGTGAAGTCAGTATAAGAGCAGGAAATAAGTGGCATCGCATAAGACGCTGCACTTCAGCTTTCTACAGTAAAGAGAGAAGAAAATAGCATCTAGCAGCTGAGCTAAACGCATTGCACTCTAGTAAGGAGACCTAAGAGAAAAGACGGGAAGAAGGCTTAAAATCTCAAAAGAACATTTGTAACTCCCTTTCTTCGTTTCTCTTTCTCTCTTTCAGCCCAGTCTTTCACGCGGGGTTTGACATATTCGTGCTGTTATCAGATTGATGGGCCAGTTTGATTGAAGTGCCTTTGTCATGCAAATGTCAAGCGCGTGATGGATGGTCGCCGTGCGCTGACAAACTTCTGGAGGTCCCCTCACCATTGGCGCCGTGACGGCTCACGTGACCAGCAGCTGAGGTAAAGATGTGTTATAGGGAAGCACGGGCAAATACACTGGAGGTAAGCGTTCCCCCTTTCCCCTCATGAAACACTGCTGCGAGGTCGCAGGATAGGCAATCCCAAACTCCCAGGTTCCCCCTTCGCCATCAGCTGCGCATGGACAATTCCAGAATGAACTCTTTTTTGGAGTACACGATTTGTAACCGGGGGACCAACAGCTACTCGTCCAAGTCAGGATACCATCACTTGGATCAGGCTTTCTCGGGCCCCTACCAGTCCGCTCAAGCAAGTGACAGCTATAACACTGATGGACGACTTTACGTAGGGGGAAGTGCGTCGCCGGCCATGGCACAACATCAGCACCATGGCGGAGGCTACGCGCATCACCAGCACCAAACTCCACACAACGGCATGGGCCTGTCTTATGGTGGCACAGGAACCACAGGCTATGGAGCGCAGGCCTCTGCCAACCAGGACTATAGTCATCACCAGTACGTCATGAACCATGACCAGGATGGGATGTATTATCAGTCTACAGGCTTTATTGCTCCAAACGTGGGGCCTAATTATGGGTCCCTGGCTGGTGCGTACTGCGGGACGCAGGGTGCAGTTCCAGCGGCGCCATATCAATATCACGGCCTCGAGGGCCAAGACCACCAACGACTCTATAACCAGGGCACATACGCCGACCTATCATCCTGCCAAGAAAAAGAGAGAGACTCGGATCAAATACCAGGGAAGACCTTCGACTGGATGAAAGTCAAAAGGAACCCTCCTAAAACTGGTGGGTTGGCTTTCGTTTATTCCTCCTAGATCGCAATCGTTAGAAATTAATCACTGTGAGCGATTCTTTACGAAACTATTATCTGACTTACAGTTAATATGTTCCATTTTGCTGAATTTGCGCCAACTTATGGCGAAGGCCTCCACATAATGGAAGGAATAAGAGATTCAGAAAGCTTTTTTCTCCCTTTCCATATCTTTGATCCACATAGCGCTATCTCAGAGTAAAAAGCTTGTCCAAAAGCCTTGCTTGCACTCTCTGCCCGTCTCCCCTCGCGCTAATGCGTCGAACAGACATGCTTTCTTACGCCCTAGGAAATGTCCCAACTTTGTTATCTTTAGCTTGTCCCCGGCTCTTGCTGTGCTCCATTCGTTTTCGTTGGCCTCCATTGTGTTCTTAGGCTTTCCTCCGCAACCCTGTCCAAGGCTGTCTAACAACGATTTAAAACACCACCTCTTACGCACGGGGACCACCATTTTGACTTACTGTACAAATAGAGTAGTCATAAAAGCATCTTTGGGGGATACTGAATTACATACATCGCGCGCATGGATGTGTCCTGCTGTGTACTCACTCAAAATTGATAACATAAGTAAACACGGAGGTTATCAAGACTATGTCACCATGAGTTATTCACCCCGGTTGAAATGTTGGCTCCTAAGCAACACACATATGTGTCTACACGTGCTTTTTAACCTCTTCACTATCCACACTATGTTTTCTGGAAAAGGAAAACACACTGTCCACTATAAATAGCCTGTTATGTTGTTTAAAATGTGTTAAACTCTTTTGAATCTTTTTTCTACAGCAAAAGTGGCCGAGTTTGGACTGGGCCCCCAAAACACAATCCGGACGAACTTCACCACGAAGCAGCTCACCGAGCTCGAGAAGGAATTCCACTTCAGCAAATATCTCACGCGTGCGCGGCGCGTTGAAATCGCCGCCACGCTCGAGCTGAACGAGACCCAAGTGAAGATTTGGTTCCAGAACCGGCGAATGAAGCAGAAGAAGCGCGAAAAGGAGGGCCTCGCCCCAGCCTCGTCCACCGCGTCTAAAGACTTCGAAGAGAACTCGGACCATTCCACATCCACATCTCCAGGCGCGTCCCCAAGTCCTGAGGCTTAACGCATGAAAAAGGCAGAACTTAATGCACTAAATCAACTGACGAGCTATAAATTACAAAATCATGTCTTCTAAACATTCCAAACTGTGCCCAGAACTTCGTCCACATGGCTTGTATATTTTATGTGTTGAACTGTGGGAAAATTAACCACCACAGAAGTGGAATCATTCTGACTAGTTCGAAGTTTCAGAACCACTTCTACAGCGCTAAGGCGAACTAAGTAATTCAGGGTTTCCTCCAAGACAGTGCACTTTCAGCATGTTTACAAATCTCTAAATGGGCCTTTCGACTACAGGGAGCCTATAAGGGCAAAAAGAAAGACTTTTGTTGTGCTATTGTGATTTTTTTTGTGATTTAGATGAAAGTTTGAGAATTGATTGTGAATAGTTGGCCTAGCTATGTTATAAAGGTTAATCTGACCGTTTGCACTACGCGGTTACAGGGTACAGGCCTCAACTCCAGTAATGCCCCTCACATCGGGAATCTGCTGAAGATTTCCCCTCCATGCGAATGAATGTTGTTCTTCTAATTCCTTTTTCAGTGTTTAACTTAAAATTGCAACCAGAAGCAAAGTGTAATGTACTCTTTTTATCATATCTTGGAGTGCTGGATTCAGCGGGCCTATTTCGACTTCATGTCACGGACAGATTTATTTTGAAAATTGTAGCGTTCATTTGTTTAGGAAAAAATACAGGGTTTTAATGTGCTTTTTGTTTTCAGAACGGTTTTAGAAATTGATATATATATTTTTATTTTATCGTGTAAACACAGACTGGCTGAGTTTTATTAGTTTATGTCTGTCTGATTTAATGAAAGTACTATTTCAACTGTGTATCTACCTCAAATAATAATAATAAAAGTATTTTACAGTTTTTTGGTTCCGTAAACATTTTTCATAATTTTGTAATGTGTTGTAATATTTTGTACCTCGTTTCTTCGTCATTTAAGAGAGAAGGCTACTGTTTAATTTGATGTTTTAACTTAAAAAAATGTAAGTAACTGAGTTAGCTTAAAACTTTTTAAAGTGTCTTACTATTTGATGAAGACAATTTAAGGTAGTTACGGTTCTTGCTTTCAAGGTTTATATATATATATATATATATATATATATATATATATATATATATATATATATATATATACACACACATTCAATGTATGCTTGAAATACTCTTATACATTATTTAAACAACTTTATCCTGCATTTTTATGACACTTGATCAATGCTTCGTCCTTGCCTCGTGTTCTCCTTTGTCTTGGGCATCAATCTGCCTTCACTTCGTGAAAAGGCAAACGGGTCTATATGGGTCTGCCTGTACTGGGATAGAGCTAGAAAGCGACCACCAGTCAGTACTGTTGTTCTCAGTGAGGAATGTTGCTATACTTCCCGGGTGGCTCAAGCTGACCCTTTTACCTCTGCGATCTCTAAACATGTAAACAAACTCTCCCAAACGAGTTGTTTCAGTGGCGTTTACTGCAGCAAACCTGCTCTGATTTAAAGTTAAACATATTCAATGTCCAGTGCTAAGCTAGGGTAATAAGAAAAGGCCACTCTGAGTTACTAGGAACACCTATTTGAAGTCGTAAATCTGATGTGATGTATACTAAATGCCTAAAGCTCCACTGTGTGACCTGTAACTTAGATTTAGGACTATATTTCTCAGGCATAAATCTTACATTTGGACCCATATAAACATAATAGGTTGCTACAAGAATAGCATCTTCAAAACAGGCGCAGATTAAATGGTGCCTAATTGCTGAATAATAGAAACCAACCCCAGATTAATGAGCAGATTTTGACAATTCAAAGACACTTGGTTGTAAAATGAGGAGCATAAATAGATCATTTACTAAAAAAAATAAATGCACATTGTTGAAAATACAAGTACTAAAAAGACTTTTTAATTGCATAAAGAAGTTTTTAATGGTTTTGCAAATGAGTGTGAAAAACCTTTTGCAAAATGTATATATATATATATATATATATATATATATAATTTTCTAGCTACAAATATTTTTTTTTTCTTTCTTAGAACCACACATCCTACGCAAGAACCATTTATGAACCTTTCTGAATCCTTTTTTTGCGTCTATCCACTCCCTGGGTGGTTGCCTTGCGGAATAAAATGCTGCAAGCCAGTCAGCATGACACCACAACACAATAGGTCTAAAAGACTGATAATTTTGTGGCCTGTCTGAATAGCTCACAATTCATGCTACCAATTAGTTGTAAAACGTTTAACATGCTATTTATCTTCAGCATTGAACACTAGTGTGAGAGGGCGTAGTATGGGTGTCTCATAACACAACTTCATAGGACAAACTGTCTTAAATCATAACTCTACGTCTTATCCTAGGATTCCCCAGAAAAAGTCTTTCCTGACCATCTGCTAGCGCAGTTGGTGTGGATTTCAGTCACGCTGTTCAGGGCGTTTGTCCTGTACCCCCCAAAACGGCCTTTGATCAAACCCGCTGTTCCCTGCGGTCACCATCGCGAGCTTGCATTGAAACGCAAAGCAGCCCAACGCACACAGTGGCGGGTTTAACCAGAGGTCACCCTTAACTTTAAGTGAACTCTTCCACATGTGGACTTTTCCACACTGACCACTACGTTCTCTTTCTTTCATTCTAAAACAACTGAAATATGCACTGTAGCAAAGGTACAGTTTGTTTGCACCTTCCAGTGCTTTGGACTGTGGCTAAAGCGAATAGCCTATTAAAGGATCTTGAAGCTAACCGCCCTCATACACGCCACGATGTGTTTATTAGCCTATTGTACAAACTAGCAAGAACAGTTCTTTCCAGCATAAAACTGCTATTAGGCCTAATTAACTCCGATGTATTCAGACAGTTTTATAGACTTTGGGACACCATCTAAAATAATGGAAAACAAGCATCATCATGAGCAAATGCTAATGTGGTCAACCTGCTAGAATGAGTTAAACTCATTACCGCTTAACCTCAGCATTTTTTTTTTCATTTTAAAGGGACTGTAGTTTAATGATTAGCCCTTGATTCCTTCTATCATTTATCCAGGAGGTCCTACAGGATGGGTGGTTATGTTTATAGGGGTTTAACAAAGGTTGGTAAACCCATAAACAAGTGAAAGTATTGTTAGTTCTGTGAAATAATAACTCAATTAAAACTAAAACTATCTTTTCAAAAACAGCTAAAGTGTGAGTACAAAAGTTTAAGGCCAAAACACTACACTCTTACAAAAGATGGTTCTTCAAGGGTTCTATAGAACCATGAGCACTCCAACAACCATTTGCATACTTAAATGGTTCTGCATGGTGAAATGGTTCTTCAGATTGATGGATAATATTTTTTTATATGATTTCTTTTGTAGAACCTTTTTGAAAATGGTTCTATATAGCACCAAGTGTTCTGCTATTGTTATGATGTCAAGCATGTTATAATAGAAGATCCCTATTTGTTGCTATGTAGAATAATTTTCAAAAAAGTTCTACACAGAACCATATATAACACATTCTCCATCAATCTGAAAAAGGATTACACCATGCAAAGAACAATTTAAGCATACATTGGTTCTTTGAGTGTTCATGGTTACATATAGAACCATTGTCTTTACTAAAGAACCCTTGAAGAGCCATCTTTTTAACAGTGCACTTAAGTACCAAGTTCACTCTAGAACTGCTGCTGAACTTATTAGTACACCCATCAGCACAGGAAGTGGCGTTTATTAAGATCTTTTCTTCTCTTTTTGATGCACTTTTGGCCTAAAATTAAATGGTAAAGCTCAAAACTTTTTTGACCTTTATACAGAAAAAGTTCAAACCTTAAGTTCTTAGTACAAATTTATTAACAGTTTAATTCATACTTTGTAATTGAGTAAATGTATTTTGATTTTAATTGAATAAACTCAAAGTGTGCAGGATGAATATTTTAATTTTACTTTTTGAGGAAAAAAAAAATCTAGTGTTTGAATTTTACTTGATTCCAATACTTTAAAATATTGTTTCTAAATTATCATATTAAATAAACACAATTGCTGCAGTAACTGGGATGACGTGATATACTTTCTTAATGTGGAATCAGGGCAGTCTATATTTCTTCCTTTATTAGCGGGTGGAACTGATTGTGAGCAACATACTTTTATTTTAATTCGAATTTTCCGCGTTCACATCTCACAGAAACAAAAACTTTAATCAACACAAAAAGGCCAGAAGAACCTGATCCTGAGGGAGTGAGTTATGTGAGGAAAAACAGAAGTCTGAGGGGGGTTACCCGATGAGTTCAACCTGAAAGAATCCCATCCAACGAGTACACGCACGCACGCGCGCACAGCCCAGGAAGCCACGGTTCTTTCTTAAAATTAGACATCATATTAAAGTCCCGTGGCCTTTTGCTTCGTATCCGAGCCCTGCGAGGCTGGAGAGCTCCGGTGAAAGGTTCGAGGGGAACGACTCTGAGGGTGCTGACAAGAGGGTGCGGGGAAAGAGGGGAAGAGTGTTAGGAGGTCGGACAGGTTTTGGGGGTCTTTTTCACCAACATTTGAGGAAACGACTTTGCCAAAGGTTTTTTTTTCCTCGCGCTCTCTCTCTCGTGGCCTCACCTCTTCCTCAAAGTTTACGCGGACTTGACAGGTCCATTTCATCCCCCGACCCTCTGACGGACTGCCTCAATATTTGCACAGGCGGATGGCTTTGCCCCGGGCCCCGGCCTCAAACAGCTCCGGCCTGCCAGGGCCGCTCTCCGCGGCCGCGGTTCACCGAGAGTTCAGCACCAAATTAATTCTGGAGAGGCGTAGAGGGGCAGCCTGAGAGGAGCTGCCGCGAGCTCCCATCTCAGCGGGGTCAAACGCAGGTCTCTCCCCTCAGCGCCACTCCGGTCTTCACCTCGCCCTGCTCACCTTTCTTATCTCGCTCCCTCTCCAGCTCCCCCTCTGTCCATTCCCAATGTCTGTGTTCGGAAATTAAAATGCTGAGCGTCTCAAACAACAGAAGAGATTTTACACAGATTTTCCCTTATTTTTTTACACTTTGTAAGCTATTGTGCTTCTGATAAATAGTCAATATATATCTTTTTTATCTTCATTATACAAAAAAATAAATACATATATAATTTTTTATACCAAACTA